TACGAGGCAGAGCTTTTGGGCCTGTCTGGAGCACCTTTGCTAGATTACTTGGGGTAGAGAGGTCACATAGTTTGGAATGACTCTCAAGGTAGGCATCGATCTGGCTCAGGCTTATCCAACAGAGTCTCCTAAATCCAACAAAGGCAGAGATTCATTTTCTGTAAGGGAAAGCTGGTTATTTCTACATATAAAGATATGTCCTTTTTTTTCCTGAGTGGGTGGCTGAGCATGCACCGAGCAGATTCCCTCCCCTCTCTCATCACCCCACCTAGAAGGGCGTCTGTTTAGACATTTCTCAGCAGCTCTCTGTCTTAGCTGATTGAGAAGCATGCTGTGTATATGGCGTTGTGGGTTTCCCTGGGCCCTGAACGTTCAGTTGAGAGTTGGTTCTGCCCTCCCGGCCTCCAACTGCATGAGGGACGGCTCACGCCAATCAACTGCCTCCCCTGGGCCTAATCGCAGCATATTAGACCCATTTTCCCCCAAAGAAAAGGCATTCTAAGCAGCTGTCACAGAACCATTTGCTTTCTCTCTTTTATACTAAAACTTCCAAATCATAGCAAACAATGTATTCCAAAATTCCAATAGATGGATTATACCTAGTCATTTTAATATTATACTTAAGTCACAACCGATCCTCTCCTTCAGTGATAAGGGTGTCACTTGACTTTTTTCTTTTGCTTTGTCTCATGGGCAGTTAGCATGAATCTGAGCTCCTAACCTCATCAGGGGAGAGTCCTTCCCATGACTAATCATGGTTGAGCCTCAAAAGCAGGAGCTTGTCTGAGAGAAACAAATGCTTGCTTCTAGCTGTCCCTCTTTCTCTTTTAACCAAATATTGATAAACATCTTGGACACTGAGGTCCACCACAAGGCACCGTGTCCTGCTTTCCTGAGGAAGAAAACCTGGGCAGTGATGGCCCAGCTGGGCTGTTTCTCTCAAGGAAGGCCCCCTTCTTCATTGATTCAGTCAAAACCAGTAACAGTTGGCAACTATGGCCCTCTAGAGTAAAAGAGGTCCATCAGAGCCATCTTCTCACACTCAGGATTATCTCTTTCTCATGGTCACTGCAGGATGAAGACAGGCACAAAAGGACACAGGCTAAAAAGTCTCGTTTTCAGTTGGCTTTCTCAAGCTCCCACGACAAGACAGGGAGGGAGCTGCCTTCCTATGCTCACACTACCACATTTCCATTCACTAGGTGAACCAAAAGTACCATGCAGCTGCCTACCAGGCAGTCTTTCATCGGCAAGAAGGCAACGAAGGTCATGGATGCTCATTAGAAAACCTCAAAGCCATTGTCAGCACAGCTGCTGTGTGAACCCAACTCACCCTCTTGGCAGGAACAAGAGAACAGCCCTTCTCAGGTTCTCACCCATGGCTCCCACCAGGAATTGCAAATCCTTCAGTCCTTATCTAAAGCCAGGGCTGGAGCATTTTCTACCTTTTGTTTTTTGGGTTTTTTTTTTTTTGGTAAGGAGGAAGATTGGCCCTGAGCTAATATCTGTTGCCAGTACTCCTCTTCTTGCTTGAAGAAGATTGTCCCTGAGCTAACATCTATGCTAGTCTTCCTCTATTTTGTATGTGGGACGCCACCACAGCATGGCTTCATGAGCCATGAAAATAGGTCTGTGCCTGGGATCCAAACGTGTGAATCCAGGGCCACCGAAGCAGAGCATGCAAACTTAACAGCTACACCACCAGGTCAGCCCCAACAGCCTGACTTCTTTATCAGGATCTTCATCAGAAAGCTGTCAATCTCCTCTACAAGACTTGAATTTCCTAGGGAAATCACCCTTGATGACACATTTCTTTCTTCTGCCAGCTAGCAGCAGCTGTACTATGCCATTTATCGTCCTTTCCGCCTTGGCTGGCAACAAACTGAAGGTACCTTGGTTTTTCTGGATGTATAACAAGCTCTCTTCTTTATTATTTATTTCTTATAACTTCAGTCCTTATTTTAATGGCCCTGTTTCATGGGTATATTATCATATAAGTGATCCCAAATCATTTTAGGTAGAGACTAGAAAATTTTTAAAAAGTAATACTAGTTTCCTAATCTATAAAGTAAATCCTAATTAATACCTCCCTCACAGGACTGATTCAATAGCATAATGAATGCACAGCATCTAACAAAATAGATGCTCAATAAATGAGAGATCTGATTCGACTTTAAACATCATTCATACATTATTCATTCATGTTCTAAGCAGCATTTACATTACTATGGAAAGAATGTTTTGTTTAATTTATAATTTAGAACCCATTTGATTGCAAATTGGATTGGAGTTAGTTTATAGTACCAAATAAATTATTTTTGAACCATAAATATTTAAAATAAAACCATGCATACAAAGAGACACTAGAAAAAGGGAGAAAAACACAATTCCAGGACTCAGATGAGTTGATTGCTGGAAATGAGCTTTAAATTTAGCTTTGTGTTTTCTGAGAGCCAAAAGAGAAAGAAAATCATGTTAACTTACACAACTCTTACCGTCTGATAAATGGAATGTGTAGCTCACATTAGAAAGTGAATTTTTCTCCTGACATTCGGATCTAAGAGTACCTGCTCACGTTGACCCTTATATGAGGTATAAAAAGGGCCGCACCTACCCATGTGCCACGTGCAAAGCACAGCTGCACCCATCCTTCAGAAGAGATGTTTCACTTTATCAGTATTACATGGTTTGGGACCAGAAGGGTGAGCGCCCTGGGGACTTTCCATGGGTACACAGAAGGGTACGCTTTCCTTCTTGGAGAGCACGGGCAAGTCATTAGGTCCACTGAGAATACCATCCCATCCTACCTTAGTTCACACGTGCTTTAAGGAACGTGGAGTTAACTTGTTCCACTCTATTCCAAAATATGGAACCGCTTCCAGGTTTCGCATCTGTGAAGCAGCCTGGCCAAGGGCCTCACTGAGAGTGCGGGTTGGTCTCAGCCTTTTCAAGGCCCCACACATGCTCCACACTCCCATGCTGCCCTGAGCCTGGGTGACCAGAGGGGTCCACACTTGGAAAGAATGTGGCTTCATCCTTGGGGAATCTGCTTCCCAAGCTTCGTGAATAATCAGAGACAACAGGCTTTCCTGGGAAAACTGTAACCACTCAGGTGGGGTAGGGACAAATGCTACAGGATTTATTGGCTTTGATTAACAACAAAGCGTTTGTTTTTGTAGGTAATTAGAGTTCAACAGCAAGCTATAGAGAGTCCTCCAAGAAGTTCTAAACAGCCTGTAGCTAAAGGCTACTGAAGTATGACCGAACCCAACCACTCATTTCCGCAGACCTCCCATCCTAAGACACCAATGCTGGATCCAGCACAACTGCACAGATCATCAGGGAGAAAATGGCCCTCTGTGTTCTTAAGGTCCAAGATGAAAAAGCCTCTATGCAGCATGTGTGTGCTCACACGCGGGTGCAAAGAGCACTCTGGTATGCGCCCTGGCACTAAATGCTACCATGGGATATTGCAGTTCATAGAAATATTTCTATTCAAAGATCCACAACAGCCTGCACATTGGGAAATGCTTTGACAACTCTGCATTCCCACAACCATTAGATGGTTGATTCCGAGGTACTATGGCTGTCTGGGCGGGTCATGTGATACTGAGAAGATGTTTGCAAAAGTTGTGTTGATTTACGATGGACATTTTCTTTCAGCAACCACTCTTGGGTATAGTTTTTGGTGTTTTTTTTTTTTTAACAAATAAGAGATATGAATACAAATTGGATTACAATTAATTTTTGAAATTTTCTAGTAGTGAAGGAAAAATAGTATAGGCAAAGTATTGTCATCAACATTCTAAAAATACTGCCAAGATGAAGTAACTGTACTTAGAGACAACTGCTCCTCTTACTTCCCTTGGCCTATAACATGTTATTCCCTCCTTAATCCCAGGAAATACACATAAGGTTATTTTCACTCACTGTACACATATCATGATATCCAACAGGTACAGATGAATCTACGACCAAACCCTCCTACAGGAGTGAAAAAATTAAAATGGGACCAAATAAACAAAACACAATAAAAAAATAAAGCCACAGATATGGCTAATACTAGAGGAAAACAATTGCTTTCGTAGTCTGTATACATTATACATCCTTTACTCTTGCAGAAACTTGAGTTCACATTTCGAGTTCCAGGCATCTTACTATGTAGGTCATTAGAAAACTTAAAAACTACATTTTTTCCCCCAAGTACTAGACTTCCATTAATTTTGTTCTGCACAATCCAATATAAAATTTCCCATTGTTTTGCCTGCTCTGGCCTCCTCAATTTATTTATTTATTTTTTAAGTTCTTTTCTCCTTCACAGAAATACAAAATAGACATCTACTCCAAGAGAAAGAGTAAACCGTCAGGCTGCAGGTTTAGAGTCAGCTGGCTTTCTGCCGCCTGAGACTTCCTGCAGGTGATCTCAACCTTGGGCCAGCCACTCAACCCCTGTGACCTTGTGTTTCCTCATCTGAAAAACCAGGAGGTTGCCTGAGATTCTCTCGTTCTGCAGTTATTTCCTCCTCAACATAAGAACTTCCATGTGCAAAGGCAGTAGCTATTAATTCTTTAAAACTAAGACACTGACATTCTACCCTTAGAAATTTGAACTTTGTTTGAAAGTGGCTGAAAAGAAAATAGGAAGTTAACAGTATGCAGACAGATCCCATCATTTGAACCACATATTCAGAGTGAATCAAATAGAGTGGATCATCCTGATCCAGGAAAGGAAATGCAATTAAAGAAGACAGTCTGAGAAAAACCTCTTCCTTTTACAGGGTGTGATTTAAGAATAGACACGAACATCAAATTAACATTGCAACTCTCAGAGCCAGTCTATTCAGTGATCTCTCGGGTTCCCTGAAGGGCTGGGACCCTGGTTTGCTGGCCTAGGTCTGTATTGTGGAAGTAAAGGCACAGAACAGCAATGTTTTAGAACTTAGAGAGTTCAAGCGCAAAAAGATCCAGAAAGGAATTTAAAGAGGGAGACTGATACTTACTTGTGGCCCAGCTCATGAGCGATGGTAAAGGCCAAATTGAGACCATTGTCTTCGGCAAGCACACATTTCCTCTTAGCACTGCACACACCTCCTAAGTAAGCAATTCCTGCAGCAGAGACACAAAACACATCCTCTTCAGAACACGGGAGGCCCTGACCTCTCTGGAAAGGTCCACATGGTCAACATCACGCACTATCAAGAGAGGGGAAACTGGGATGATGATGATCAGGGGCTGAATCCATCATTCCAGAGCTCATATGGGGGACTGGCTCGCATATGATGCTTTTGTATTTGCCTAATAATAATAGTACCCACCACAAACATCTGTCAAGGATTTACTATGCATCAGGCAACATGCTGAACAATTTACACATATTATCTAATTTAGTGCTCATCACCCAGGACGGCAGTAACAGAGAAACTGAGGCTCAGAGAGGAAAGGTAACTTTCCCAAAGTCACCTAGATTGGCACCTGGTGCTGGAATACTGTCCAACTTCTCAGCATTCGGGGCTGGGACAAGGTAAGGCGAGCAAGGCAAGACCCAATGTGCAGTTTAAGGACAGTGTCTCTCTCAGGAGCTGACTTTGCACTTGCATGCCGCAGAAAAGGAGGGAGTGCCTCCTTAAATTCTGCACCCTGGGCACCTCCTTCCCCTCACCCCAGTCCCAGCCCTGTCAGGGTCAATGCTCTCATGGTGTGAGCATGGCTTAGGGCTGGGGCTCACGCAGGGCAAGCCAGAGAAGGCTGTGCAGAACGTTCAGGAGAATGTTTCAGGAGCCCTGAAGAGAGCATGAGACAGACCCAGAGGGAGTCAGAGAATGTTGGAATAGGGAGGGCCAGGGAGTCATCAGTGAGGATGAGCCCCACAGACCAACTCATTCACCTCCGCATACACTTGATTAGGCCTCAGGACCTTCTCCAAGACTGGAAAACAGAACCAGTGCAGCAGGAAGAACGCAGATGCAGAGGAATGGTGTGGGTAAGGGGCTGAGTACAGAGGACGGAAAGCCGCCAGCCTCTGGAGATCGCAAGGAAGTTTCTCAGGGGAGAAACGCTATTCCAGTGGAGGGATGTGTGTAAACAACTCAGGGGCCTTAGATGAACCAGGCACGTCTGAGGAATGCTGGGCAGTCAGCCCTGCCCTGGCCACATCTCCAGGCTGACACTGCCCACGACAGCTCTATATGCTTCCTCTCAGCTTCTGCTATCTCTGCACCCAGGATGGACATGCTCGATGACACAGGCACCCCCAGGGCTTATCTCAACGAAAGTGGGAGTCCATGGACCCCCACCCCCACCCTCAGGGCTTGGAAGAGTACTCAAGTGAGGACTGGAAACAGCTGCACTCCCGTAGCCAGTGGCCTCTGACTCTTCCAATATGCCCTGTGAAATGAATGAGTGGGTGGTGGCACCGGGTGGCTGGCAGGTCACAAGGCAGAGAAGGCTCAGTATTCCCCTCACTGTGATGTCAAAAGGGGTGTGGGGCAGGCAGTGGCTCTGCTAGCCCGATGGCCAGGCAGGCACTGCCCAGCACTGCCTGGTGACAGGGCGAATGGAAGCTCTTTCAGCTGGACTCTGTCCACCAGCCCCGTGCCCTGGGAGGGGCTCCATGCACGGCACCTGTTCCACCATCAAGCTGCACGCAGCCTTGTTTGGAGGACCCTTTTCACTAACTGCACAAGGTGTCTAGGAGCTGACAGTGGCCTGGCAGGCACAAGAGTTGCAGAGGGAAGGAGATGGCAGAAGGTGGAGGAGAACAGGATGGGGGAACTAATTAATTAAAAAAGAACCACCCTGCCTGCTCCCAGAGAGCTAAACCACCATCCTCTTTATTGGCATCAAATTCAAACTGGGGCGGACCTCAGCCACACACAGGGAGCTCCCTCCTTCCCGAACCCCTCCTCAGGGTGCAGAGGAAGCCCATAAGGAGCCAGGTCTGCGGGGAGACGCAGCTCCAGTGCTCGGCTCACATTCGGCACACCAAGCCAGGCATCGCACCACCTGTCTCTTTTTATTTGGAAACACGCAACATTCTTGGCCAAGGTTGAAGAATTATAAAAGAAAGAAAAAAAATGAAATCTTATTTGGCCTCAAGATGCTTTTTGTTTTTTTGCACGTGGACATCATCAGCCAGCCAGGCAGACTATTGGAAGTAAAAAAACAACAACCAGAAAGGACAGGATCCGGCTTCTCAGTGCCTTCAAGGTCATTATTCTGGTTTTGTTTAAAAACGCTTTGTGGGTTGCTACAAGCAGTCGAGCAGTGAGTGAGTAGGTGGAATGCCTTTACACGGCGCTGACGGTATACGCACGTAGCACACACACACGTACAAACGCACACTCAGCAGTGCCCTCCCAGTCCAGGCCGCAGCCTCCCGGGTGGACAAATCAATTCTAAAACAATCAGCTGTGCACACTCCAGGGAAGCCGTCTGGAGGAGGGGAAGGGAGACGTCTCAGGCCAGCTGCGCTGAGCCTGCTGTCCTGAGAGCTCCTGCTGAACCAGCAGACTTTAAATGCCGCACAAACACATCGCTGGCCTCAGCATCACACAGCACCCGGAGCGGGCAGTCCTGAGCTTCCAGTCTAATTAGGTAACACCAAGGCTAGGGAAACAGTGAAGCAAAGAGCCTTCCAACAATCGCATTTTAATTTTTCCAAGGCACAGATAATTTTTTTTTTAACTAGAAAACAAAGGATCAGTTTATTTATAAGAAATGCTCTCACACAAAGGTGGATTAAGGTCTAGTGCTTTTAAGGATTTATTCCAATCGTGAACAACCTGGTCATAAAACCAAGCAAGGCAAAATGCGTAAAAGAAAATGGCCTGTGATAACAGAGCACAGGAGCCGCCGTGTGTTTATGAGCAACGGTGTGGAAATGCTTAGAACTCACAAAACAAAGTCTAGAGAAAATCCCAGGTTGTTGTAAAAGTAAGAGCTGCAGGGAATAAATGGTACTTAAGCATGAGCTTCAGCAGGAAACAAATCTCACAACTATCTGATGTTTCCTGGAAAGAAAGAGCAGTCTATGGAGGAGGGTATGTGGAGACACGGAGACGCTCCCAGCACCTCAGGCTGCAAAGGAACCAACACAGAAAACCCCACCCGGCCCCCGGCCCCACATCGGTGCTTGTCAAGAAATAAGCAAAAACCAATTTTCTCTATGTTGATTTCTTTTATTAAAAAGTGAAGTCTGTAAACAAAATTCTCCTAACATCAGTGCTGAAGCTGTGGATGCAGAGGGACTTGCCTGCGTAACTGGAATTTCCTACACAGACAGCAAGGATTTCTCAGGCCCTAGAGTGGTACTTTCACTGGTTTCAGCCTTCCATGATTTAAAATTCTCCACAAAAGAAATCACAGAACTTCCTTTTGGAATTTTACAAACATTAATTCCACATGTTTGTTCCCTGGAACAAAAGGGAAGCAGAACGGCAACTGGCATTTATTAGGCTCCTCTCTCTGAGCAAGCGCCACTCTGCATGCATGACCCTCCCTTACCTGGCAGGTATTACTGGTCCCATTTTACAGACAGGGAAATGGAGGCTCGGTAGCCAGTTATGTGGCTGATGAGGGCCCAGACTCGGATACAAGTGCAAAGCTCTCTTCCTCCAACACCTGTGCTCCTCCAGGCAAACCCTGGGCCTACCTCACCAAAGCTTTGGTAACAAAAAGAGTGAACAATCTTTGAGGATTTAGAAGATTTTCATAAATCTTTAAAGTGCACTTATGCAGAAATGCGGGTGGGATAAAGATTTCATGTGTTTAAGTCTAAATGTTTTTAATCCTACAGATAAAAGGACTTGAGGGCTATACACAATGCTATTGACAGTAGTTGTCTCTAGGACACGGTGAACTCCTTACAGATCTTTTTAATTTTCTTCTTTTTTTTTTTGGCCTTAAACCTAATACAATGAATATGTACTTGCTATGAAAATTAAAGTTACTGGTTATATTTATCCAAGGTGACATAGAGCAGAGGCAGAGACGAGAGACAAAAATAACCTCTCCGCATTTTGACTCTGAGTGTACCAGCCCTGCAGGCAGCAGATATGAAGGAAGTTCAAAGTCAACACATAATCGACTCGCTCCATCTCTACTGCACCCCTGGCACAGATTAGGGAAGCAAAACACACTTTTAAAAACCTGAAATGCTGAGGGTAGAAAGGAAGGGCTGTAAAGAGCTTTTCTGACACCTGGAGAAGTTTATCTAATTCATCCAAAAAAGAAGACTGCATTGCCCAGAGCCTCCTGACCCCTCTTCCCAGCCTTATCAGCTCAGTGTGGACACTGACTCCTCTCCTTTCTTTTCTTTTCCTTGCTAGGAGCACAATTTTGGAGAGGAAATGGGTGAGGAGGTTTAATTATTTTCTTTTTCAGTAGAAAACTGCATGGCATAAGCACGTAATTCTTAAACTCGGAGTTGACCGGATGATCCTTTCTAGATTTAAGGAGTAAACAACACACAACTGTATAAACTCTGGTTTATCCAGCAAATTGTCACGTGTAAACAGTTTGCAGCTGTTGGCCCTGCTGCCCATTACTCAGACCTTCTCAAACTCTGCCTCAGAGAGAAACGGTCAAGATTTCTCCCACAAACTGCTCAACGTACCAACACCATCATGGTTATCTCTGGGACACCACACTGCCAATCAGGAGAAGGCGATTTACGGCTATTCACTCGGCAGCCATGTGGGTGAGACTGAGGTGCAGTTAAGGCCCAGGGGCAAGTCCCTGTGCTTTGTAAACTTCACTGAGCGGTTGGAGGTACGATTTGAATTTGTAAATAACATTTAGGAGCAAATGTCTTAGCGTCTAGGATGGGACAAATGAAAAATAACTACAGTAGATTCCTGTTATTTTTGGTTGTTAAGATTCTAAAAAATTGCTGTGAACACTGAATTCTCAAATATAGAAACTTTGCTCCCAGGAGATACAAGGTTTGGTTCCTGTGAGCCTCTGGCCACACTTTTGTCAACCAATACATAACTTAGTTTTATGTGTGTTTCTGTTTAAAAACACCTTATTCAAGGGGCTGGCCCGGTGGTGCAGCAGTTGGGTTTGCACGCTCTGCTTCAGCAGCCTGAGGTTTGTGGGTTCGGATT